AAATAACTGTTTCTGCACTCATGTTTTCTTTAGGCTTTTATAGAAAAGAATAATGTAACATGGTAGCTAGGGAAATGCACGTTTTTGGAATACAGGTCTCAGAATCTCCAACCAGTGTGGGCAGTAGTAGTGCTGGATAGAGGATTGTGGGAGCTGTAGTCCAAAAGGAACATTTCTAAACTCAGAGTAATTTGTATAGTCTCTTGTGGGATTGTACCATACTAATTTAGGTCATGCTCTGTTTTTTTGTTGGAGGTATTGGGGCACCTTTTACATTTGCCCCTGTTGTTTTTGCTTGAGTAGTTTACTTAGCCTCGTGGTGCTGTGGTTAAACTGCTGTACTGCAGCCAAAACTGTCCTCGGGGTTCAATCTCAGGTTGCCGGCTCAAGGTTGACTCAGCCTTCTATCCTTCCAAGGTCAGTAAAATGAGTACCCAGCTTGCTGGGTGGAGCAGTGTGTAGCCTGCATAATTCACTTGTAAAACACCCAGAGTAAGCAGCACACTTTGCTTTTTGCTTTTTTGTCTGGGGCAAAAGGAAGGCACTGGATGGAGGTTCAGGAGTTGTGCTCTGGCATGCTCAACAATTTACCTGGAAGGACTGGCCAGCTGAGCTGTAGTGGATGGATGTTTCTGTGTCACGGTTGGCAGATGCAAAAGCAGACAGGGCTGTTTCATCTCTAACAGTTGCTTAGAAGTGAGAATTTCATCTGACATAGCCTGTCATACAAGGTACACCTCATGAATTTCCCACTGTTTTTATTTTTACACAGCTGTTAACGGTCCAACAGCACTGTTCTGTTTTGCACCTGGCCGCTGTCCTGCATATATACAGAGATGAGTTGGGCAGAATGGAACTGCTCAAAGTTGAGTTCTGCCTCAGTCTCTTTACACATGCATCAGTGAACCTGACTCTTAAGTTTTTACTATGTTTGTTCTCTTAAGGGCAACATCTGTTTTTGATGTCTTCAGACTATGTGAAGATTCTTTAAAAGCAAGAATACAAAATGAAGTAGGGAGCAAAAAGTTTGTTTTCTCCAAGATGTTCCAGCTATTGATGGACAAATAGGCAACGAGTATTTGAACACAATATATGTCTTTGGTACATTACATTATTTTTCTATTAAAACATTTTACTACTTTAGGACTTCACTGTCTTTGGAGGCAGTTTATCTGGAGCTCATGCCCAAAAGATCTGCAAGGTAAGCATTGTAGATTATAGTAGTTACAAAATGATAAGTCGAAGTAGTCTACAGTGTGTGAGTGATTTTACGCAACATTTTAAAATGCAGCATGGTTTTTGTGCATTTGTGCTGTGTAAAAAATTCTTCCATCCCATTTCTTTAAAACAGTACAAATACATTGTCAAGAACAGTTTATCCTAAATTGCAAACAAAATCTCATCCTTTTATGTTTATGGGAGCCTACTTTAATGAATCAAGCTGATATTTGATAGTTAATTCTTATATCTGTAAACGTTTATTCTATTTCTTTTATAATTTTATTACTACTCAGTTCCCTCTCCCACCCTTCTTCTGCAGTTATTTTATGCCTGTTCGTTATTACATAAACCAAGAAGTTGATTGGATAAAAATGTAATGCACTCATTGCTACATTTCGGGTTACAGAGACACCAGTGATGTAAATGCATTCTGTGTTTAACTAAACATGTCCTTCAGGAAAGTGTTAGTTTCTGACTTATTGAAAACAAGTGTAGTACACTATACTAGTACTTCAGTATTTTCCCTGGATCAATAATCTAATTGTTGAAAACTGTGATACCTCTTGTAAATTGTCTTTGTCCCAGATATGTTTGCCCAGCATGTATCTTATATAGGGGGTTTTTTTGGCACCAGAAAGAGAATCTTAATTTTTTTTTCATTCTTAATTTTAATCTGTCCGTTTTGTACTCTTTTTGTGGCCCTGTGGCTTTTTGGTTTACTTACATTTTACTTATTTTTTTAAATAGCTGGCGCAGTACGAAATACTCATATTAAATAAATAGATGAGCTGATGTAGGAGTTGTGAACTTCTTAGACTGGGATAATCTGGCTACCCATGCCCTAGTAATGGCTTAGCTTTTGCAATGTGTTGCTTATGGGGATTTCCCTAAAAATTACTTGAGGATTTCATCTAGTTCAAAGTATGGTAATCCAGATATTCTTTCGTGTAAACTGTTGTGGGTGTGTGATGGATGAGTAATTAAAAGTATTTCTACAACAATAAATTATAAATGCAATGGTCTGGCTTTCTTTAGTATTAAACTAGCCATAAATTATTGGCTGCAGAGATCATAATAGGAAGCAGGGTTTGGTTGTGGACATGGTTTTTTTTTCTGTTTTATGATAAAGGGGTTAAGTCACATATGAGCTAATCATGAGTTTCTGTTCTTCAGATCATGGATCAGGCTGTTATGGTTGGTGCTCCCGTGATTGGACTGAATGATTCAGGAGGGGCCCGTATCCAAGAAGGAGTAGAGTCACTTGCTGGTTACGCTGACATTTTTTTGGTAAGAACCTTGTTAAGGAAGCAGGCCTTATAAATATGAAGCAGAATTATAATTTAATAGCTTAGACAGGAACCAGTTTGAAAATTTCCATTTTTTTTTTATATTCAGGGCAATGACAGAGGAAGCATGAAGGATACAGCATTTCCTTCCCTGCTGCTTTGAGGTCTGAGATTAAATGTGATGTAGAGATACTGCCTTGATACAAATACAGATGCTCTTTTTGTCCCTCTTTTATGAGAAGATGCTAGGGTGTTTCAAGACATTGCTATCAGAAGTAACAACAGAGGTTAGGACTGCCTCTGAAATTAGCATGGCATTTTAGCTATTTGTTTGACCAAGAGTTATAGATTATTGTTGCTGGTTAGTCTTAGTGCTTGTGGCAATCTTGCTTGGGTTGAGGTTCTCCCTGTCAGTGATTTAAGAGCCTCTAGTGAATTTTGCTAGATACCATAAGGCCTACTTAGTGTTTCATTTTTTCCCTTATAAAACTACCTTCCTTGTAAGCCGAGACCTGCTGCTATTATCACTACTCATATATGCTTCAGGCTAAAACGAAAGAAAACTCAACCACCTTTTTGTTGAGTAGATGAATGAACAGTAGCAGCATCTCTTTCCATGAGGGGAGTAGAACCCTCAGGAAAGATGAGGATTAGGAGAGTGCTTTTCATCTGTGGCTTTCTGCTCACCATCAGCTATAGCAGCTGCTGTTGACACATGAAGGGTTTAGTATATTTGGAAATTTGAGGCTGTTCCATGAAGTGGATCCCAGCTTTGGATATTTAATTATCTGATAAAACTTTTCTCACCCACCACCTTTTTTAAAAAAAACCCATACTTTGCTTTCAAAGCACAGATTTTTCAAGAAATGAGATTAATTTGGTAAAGATATGGGTGTACATTTGGGTAACTGATCAACAGCTCAACTAAAAACAGAACAGATTTTTGATTTGTAGGATTATTTTTTTAACATACACTATTGTATATCAAATTATTTGTTGTACAATTTTAACACAGGCTCAGGGATTATGGAATCGTTTTCAGTAATAATTACTTGGATAACTTTAGCTGGGAATTGGGACAGATGTGTGTAAATAAAAGAGCATGTTTGTTTCTTTTTTCAGAGAAATGTTTTATGTTCTGGAGTAGTACCTCAAATTTCTCTTATTATGGGCCCTTGCGCTGGAGGTGCTGTATATTCTCCTGCTTTAACAGATTTCACATTCATGGTAAAGGTAAGTGTATAGCATACATTGTCTTTGATTGTAACCCTAAAGTACTTTCTATTGAGCAGGTCTCATTGAACACACTGAGTAGTAATTCTGAATAACCATACATAGGATTGTGAAATTAAGGTTTTAGGTGGAGTCAAAATCCAGAGAAGCTCAGGTGAATAGCTATAATCATGGTAGGCAAAGAGAGGACCCTGGATTTAGTCTCTCCTTAGAGGTCACAATGAAAATTTCTCCTTCATTCTTTGTCATGTAAATGTGAAATTATCTTTTTGTTTCTTATATATACTTTTTTCCTTGTATTTCACTGTTAAATAAACACACTTTTTCATGTAAGGATGAGCTTTGTTGAGATACTTGTCAGCAGTGAGAATCATGGGGAGAGTACAGGTGCAGAATTTTTTTAGCTTTAATGTTGCGTTGCCTTGTAGATGATATTCAAGGGACAACATTCCAGTTATGTATGGAGCCCAAAGAAACAGTTAAGAATTCCAGCCATGCTGGATGTGTTTATGCACTTAATGTGCCCATTCATACATGCATACACATAAACATACAAGCATGCATTCATAAACATGTACCTCCACCCTCACTTTGCTCATACTATATATATAATTTAAAAGATATAAACATGTTACACACCTCCAGAACATGGCCAAAATACCTACTACAACCATTGGATCCCAGCCATGAAAGCCTTCGAGAATACAGTGTTACACATTGTTATTGTTGTTGTTATTTTAAACTTATATACTTCCTCATACTGCTAGAGCACTCTCTGGATGGTTTAACACATAATTATGTAAGGACCACATTGATCTCTAGTCAGACATACATTCTTCCCCAGGACAGTTTTGGACCAAGAAATGTTACAAGAAAAAAAGTGTTCAGGCTCTTATGTTAGTAATAAGAGTTAGTTGGGCTGCCAGTCATTGATCAGAGGGAAATTATTTGAATCTGTTGGGGCTTTAAAATGTTAATTCACAATAATGATACAATTAAAAATAAAGGATAGATCCAATAATATCAGTGTCACATCAAGTCAAGGTAGGTACTTGCAAACACGTTAAGTATAGGCCTGGCTATGGGTGGTTTCATGAAGCTTCAGAGTCTCCCAAGATGAGGAATGATGTTTAGAGGGAATTAATTAATTAATTTTTAATTTTAATTTAAGTAATTTCTTCTTGAATGTTAACTTTTAATAGTTTTCAAAGACGTAGCCATGTTAGTCTATGCTAGCATATCAGGCAAAAGTGAAACAAAACAAAAAAATAAAGACGACAAAAACATTGTGGCACCTTGAAGACCGATTGCTGTATTTTAATGTGAACTTTCTTGGACAAGTCTACTTTCTCAGACATAAGAGTGGAATTACATGGCAAAAAACATTTATTTGATGGGACTGCATGACAAAAAAATGGCAAAAACATTTTATTTGCTTTGAACCAAATAAATTAGAAATGGAATTCTGTATACTTCTCTGTGAAGTGTGGAGAATGTGTGGTTCGATTTTTAGATCTTGCATCTTGACCTTTGAAGTTTCTTTTTCCTCTTCAGGACACTTCCTATCTGTTCATAACTGGCCCTGATGTGGTCAAATCAGTTACTAATGAAGATGTTACACAGGAGCAACTTGGGGGTGCAAAGACACACACTGCAGTATCAGGTCAGAAGTGACTTAAATTTAAAAAAAATGTAGGCCTCTGTGTGCAGTCTTATTGCAAAGTAATCTTAATCTTAGAACTCAGCTGGAAATCAACTTGGAATGTCAGGTTAAAAATTAATAGTTAAACCTGAATGCTAAGAATAAGGAGATTAACTCATTAGTATCAGTGTTTAAAATAAAAATAGTTTAATTCATTACATTTACATTCTTCATGTATTGATTTATATGTTTAATGGACTACTTTAGGATTTGTTCTTCCAGTGAGCACTCAGGGTTGACCAGAAGCCCTGTTTAAAACAGTTAGCAATTTGTGTTGTGTGCCTGTGCTTTTGGGAGTTAAAATCTAAGAATCCTCAAAGATGGGAACAATTCCTGTGTAAACAACTAATCATTCTTAGTACACTTCTGTTGTATTGCTCTAAAAGAAGCTTTCTTGAGAGTGCAGACCTCATGAAAATGTGCATCATGGAGCTGCTGGCCAAGTTAACCACAAGCAGCTACTGAGAGTTTAATGAATCCACTTTTTAAAAAAACCACATTAAAAAACCTAGCTTCCATCCACCAAGGATAATGTTGTTATCTAATTATTGGTGCAAAATCACAGCTCAGCAGCCTCTGGGTAAGCTGAAGCTAAGATGATCTGTACAGCCCCTCCTGTAAATGTCCAACTGTTCCTGAGGGCTTAGTTGAATTATCTATTTGACAAGTGCCTGCAAATCTTCATGTTTGAAAAAAACAGAAAATGAAATGATTAATTAATATTAAAAAGAAAAATAACATATCTGTTGCTTGAAAGAATGGTTCTTTCTTTAATTTCTGAAACTGGATTGTTGCAAACACACAACTAAGTCGCTACGTTTGAATCCAGTTCTTGAATGAAAAGGGTCATCTCCTTGCATCAGCAGACATTATTTTCTTTTTCATATTCATTAATCAATATTATTGTTCTGTCTTTTGTTCATTAGGCAAACTAGCAGGCAACTGTGCAGTTCAACTGGGTAGCAATACAGTGGTCCTTTCCTGTGAAAGGAAGGACTTCAGGGGAGGGGCCATGTAAATAATTGTGGCTTCATCTTGTTCAGAGGTTTTTGGATTATAGTCTTGTTCTAATAACATTGTTTTTCAAACATTATCCATCGAAGACTTAACTCAGTACTGTATTGTTTTCCTTGTGGGGCAGTGCAGCTCAGCCGATTTGGATGCAGAAAGAGTGGGGTTGCTACAACCTCAGTAGCAACCTGTAATCAGATGGGTTAACAGTTCTGAGGGGCACATTACCCTGAATCCTGTACTCTCAGGAAAGCTTTTTATGATGCTGAGCAAAATAAATATATTGGAAATAACTAATCAGCTCTTTATGTAGCAACAGTTTCCAGCTTTGGGGTTCCTGATGCTCTTAATCTTTAGTTTCCTAAACCCTAGAAGAATGACATAAACTCTAAAATTTCTTAGTATTATAGTCCAAGCACATTTGTAGGGCCAAGATACCTAGTATAAATCTAGATTTTAAAGGGAAATACAGATCCTTTTAAAGGGAAATACAGATCCTTTTAGGAAAGGATAATGTGGACTGACATAATGCCCTTTACAAGGAGCATGTAACTAACATTTTTATACATGAGATTTTGAGGGACTCTTTCTGGTGGTGGTCAAAACAAGTAACTTTAGTGTTAGCAAGTTAATTTTAACATGTTATTTTCAGATTCTGTGGAAAACATTATGATGTTTCTCTCTGGTCAAGTAAAATCAATGTGAAAACAATATATAGTCTTCAACTGAAAACTGTACTGCATAGAATGAAAAAGGATTATTGTTCAAAACAATGAGAATGAATATAAGAGAGATTGAGGTATTGGAACTGCTCCAAACATCAAGAGGACTTTTCTGGTTGATCAAACCAAGGGTTCATCTAAATCAGTACCTCTGACTCTAGCAGCAGTTTCCATGATCACTGCAGATGGTGACAGCAGCCACGAAATTAAAAGATGCCAGCTTCTTGGGAGGAAAGCGATAACAAACCTTGACAGTATCTTAAAAAGCAGAGACATCACCGTGCCAACAAACATCCGCATAGTTGAAACTATGGTTTTTCCTGTAGTGATGTATGGAAGTGAGAGTTGGACCATAAAGAAAGCTGACCACCGAATAATTGATGCTTTTGAATTGTGGTGCTGGAGGAGACTCTTGAGAGTCCCCTGGACTGCAAGGAGAACAAAACTATCCATTCTAGAGGAAATTAATCCTGAGTGCTCACTGGAAGGACGGATCCTGAAGCTGAGGCTCCAATACTTTGGCAATCTGATGAGAAGAGAAGACTCCTTGGAAAAGACCTTGATGTTAGGAAAGTGTGAAGGCAAGAGGAGAAGGGGATGACAGAGGATGAGATGGTTGGACAGTGTCATCGAAGCAACCAACATGAATTTGACACAACTCCGGGAGGCAGTGGAAGACAGGAGGGCCTGGCATGCTCTGGTCCATGGGGTCACGAAGAGTCGGATATGACTAAACGACTAAACACCACCAACAAAGCAGCAGTTAGCCAGTCATTTGTTAGTATCTCATAATGAAGCTTTTATGATGACTGTTTACTCTCATCAGTCATCCTGTCCCATCTAGTAATTAGAGATGTATTACCCATGGCTGTGGCATTTCATTTTCCTATCATAACACATAGCCACTATGAGAGATACTCCATTGTCACATGTAGTGATTGCTATTCCATAAAGAAACAATTTGTTCTATAAATAAATTAGATGCTGGTGGCTGTGCAGAGAATATGAACAAGCTGTATGTTGATACTGAAAGATGCATAGGTACCATCCTGACCTGGAATTCTGGTTTGTTTCTGCTGGTCAAAAAGTTGCTGATAGCTGTTTTGTTGTGAATGTTCAAGGAGTCCTTGCAAAGTCAGCTTTGTCTGTATGTTGTGGTTTTTTTTCCCCTCACAGGCGTTGCACATTGTGCTTTTGAGAATGACGTAGATGCTTTGCTTAATCTCAGAGAGTTTTTTAATTACCTACCACTTAGTAACAAAGATCCAGCTCCAGTGAGAGAATGCCATGACCCTAGGTAAGTAGATGGTGCTTTAAAAATCTGTATATCTACACAAAACAAATACCAGAAATTCAAAGGATCAGCATGCCTCAGAGTTCATCTGGTCAAAGTCCAAAACTGCAGAGTTAAGATTTCTTAGACGTCCATTTCAGAGAGAAGCTAGTCAGTTTAAACTGAAACTCATAGTTGATGGCTTTCTCTCCCCCCCCCATTGTTAAGTATGAAGCTATTCTTAGATAGCTTCATACTTAATATTTCCCATATTGTCCCTTCTAGTTTTTGTATAGGTCCATGGCAACGGATTTTGTAGAACTGTAGGAATTTTAAGCTCCCCCCTCCCCCAAGTAAGGTAGGGTTTGGGGTTTGGGGATTTAGAACTGGGAAAATGGATATGGGTAGGGAAAAGGTAAAATTCCAGAGAGTGAGTACATTTACATCCACTTATACAATTATACTACCTAGATAAGATAAAAAAAAACCCAAATAACAAGTTTTAACAGAGTTACTATCTTTATTAATCTCTTCATTCTCTACTTCCAGTATATTTTCTGTCAGCTCTTCTAGGAGGGATATTTGTTTCTTTTCAATATTTCCCATATAATATCCTAGCTGCAGTAATTACATGTATTATCAAATGTCTCATTTCTTTATCTATAGTCTCAGGCATAATATTCAATAAAAACAGTTCTGGTTTAAATAGTATTGCGCAAGATAGGATATTTTTCAGAATTTCATGCACTAATCTCCAGTAGTTTTTTGCTTCCCTACATTTCCACCAAACATGAAAGTGCCCTCTTGTATTTTATATTTCCAGCATTTGTTAGAAACATTTTCATACATTTTAGATAGATTTGTTGGGGTCATGTTCCATCTATAAAACATCTTATATATACCGTATTTTTTGCTCCATAAGACGCACTTCCCCCCCCCAAAATGTGGGGGGGAAGTCCCTGCGTCTTATGGAGTGAAGGCAGCAATTTTGTCGCCACTGGCCCCGTGGGGGGGAGCGTTGCAAGGGTCCAGGTGAGCCTTCCAGGACCATTGCAAGGCTCCCCCACGGGGCCAGCAGCAGTGAAATCGCCAGCTTCCAGGTGGGGGGAGCGTCGCAAGGGTCCTGGAAAGCTCACTCAGACGCTTTCGACGCCCCTCCCACCCCCGCACGGGGCCAGCGCTGGCGAAATCACCAGGTTCTGGGAGTGTTTGGAAGCTTGCGAAGCCTCCAAACTCTCCCAGAAGCTGGCGATTTTACCCCCCCTGGCCCCATGGGGGGTGGGGGGAGCGTCGCAAGGGTCCGAGGGAGCCTCCCAGGACCCTTGCCATGCTCCTCCCACCCCTGCACGGGGCCAGCGCCGGCAAAATCGCCAGGTTCTGGGAGTTTCTTGAGGCTTGGGAAGCCTCTGAAGAGTCCCAGAAGGTGGTGATTTTGCGCCCCCTGGCCCCGTGGGGGGGTTGGGGGGCATCACAAGGGCCCGAGGGAGCCTCCCAGGACCCTTGCCATGCTCCTCCCACCCCTGCACGGGGCCAGCGCCGGCAAAATCGCCAGGTTCTGGGAGTTTCTTGAGGCTTGGGAAGCCTCTGAAGAGTCCCAGAAGGTGGTGATTTTGCGCCCCCTGGCCCCGTGGGGGGGTTGGGGGGCATCACAAGGGCCCGAGGGAGCCTCCCAGGACCCTTGCCATGCTCCTCCCACCCCTGCACGGGGCCAGCGCCGGCAAAATCGCCAGGTTCTGGGAGTTTCTTGAGGCTTGGGAAGCCTCTGAAGAGTCCCAGAAGGTGGTGATTTTGCGCCCCCTGGCCCCGTGGGGGGGTTGGGGGGCATCACAAGGGCCCGAGGGAGCCTCCCAGGACCCTTGCCATGCTCCTCCCACCCCTGCACGGGGCCAGCGCCGGCAAAATCTCCCTGCCGGGCCAGAGGGGGCAAAATTGCCACCTTCTGGGACTCTTGAGGCTTGGGAAGCTTCAGAAGAGTCCCAGAAGCTGGCGATTTCGCCCCCTCTGACCCTGGGGGGGGGCAGGGTGAGCCTCCAAAGGGTCCTAGGGTGTGTTCCATAAGATGGACCTCTCCATAAGGCTTACCAATTTTTAGGAGAAGAAAACAAATTATTTTTTCCTGTTTTCTTCTAAAAATTTGGTGCATCTTGTGGAGAGGTGCGTCTTATGGAGCGAAAAAGACAGTATATTCTTTGAAATTTACTGATTTTGTAAGCTTAATATTATTCTGCCAAATTTGTATTCAATGGTCTAAATCAATATTATGACCAATATTTTGCGCCCATGTCATCATGCAGTCTTTAACCACTTCATCCTCCATTTTCCTATTTAATAGATATTCACACATTATTTTAATTATTTTATCACCTTTCCCTAGCAATAATTTATCAAATGTCGTTTGTTCTTCATAAAAACCCATTGATTTGTCTTTTATGTATTTTGAGTTTAATTGTAGTCTCATCCACCAATCAAGAGAGACCTTCTGTTCCTCTAACTCCTCTCTGGTCTTTAGCAGCCTGTCTGTCTTTAACAAGTATTGGTATCTAAGGAGTTTTGTTATAGTTGGCTGTGTAATGCTTCTAATGGCAAAACCCACTCTAGAATTTTGCAGTACATATGCTTTTGTATTTTATTTCAAATCCATAACAGGTTTTCTTATCACATGATTATTAAAGACTTTATGTTCTTTAGCTTTTAGATATCATCATATAAAGGCATGGTATCCCAAGCTAAGATCCTGTCCCTCCAGTTTAAGTAGTCTCTCATTGTCCAGAGCAATCTATTCTTTGATCCTAACCAATACAGAGGCCCTGTAATAAGTACTGTATTCCAATCCAGGAGCCCAAAGCCCACCCTTTGTTTGAGTCTTGTAATGCCTTCACTTTAATCCTTGTTTATTTCTCCTTTCCCCTTGCTGAACAAATTTCATTTTTTTAATTGAAGTCTTGAAGGAGTGTTTACTTTAACATCACTGGTATTGTCTGAAAAAGAAAGATCTTTGTGCTTTGTTCACTTGTCAGTTTTATATTACTATATTTCTCAAAATATTTTCTCTGTTTTTCTTTGGGGAAGGCTTTTTCATAGTATAATTTTTATAAAATTTCTTTACAGCCTTCTTCATTTCTTCGTGCTTCAATTTTATCACTCCTTCCACAGCTTTCAGATTTTGAATTACAGAGTTTCCACTTTCTTTCCTTAATTTATATGCCAGCCATCTTCCTGGTTTATTTGCATTTTCCAAAAAAGTTTTGTCTTGTGAATTTTATCCTTTTCGCCATTTCCTCTGTCTCCAGAATATTCAATTGATATTGTATTAGTTTTATCGTCATCCTTAATTCTGTCATGCCTGGGTTTTGCTTTAACTGTTTTTCACACAGCATGTCTTCTCCAAATCTCAATATTTTGCCGTTCTCTCTCTTTTTTTGTCTTGCAGCAAATCTTATTACTAAGCCTGAAAAAAAGCTTTACTTGCTTCCCATACTGTAATCATTGGTGTTTCTGGAAGCATAATAAGTTTAAAAATAGATCCATCTCTTCTCTTTTTTGCTTTATGAAGAGTGTAAAGTCCCTTGCATTTGGATGCCTTGTTCTCCAGGTGTCAATCATACTGAGCTCTTCTGCTAGCTTCAGAAAGGGTTTTGGCAACATATTTCTTCTTCTTCTTTTTATTTCCCCTTTTCCTGGATTTATATCTAAATGTCTGTCAAGGAATGTTAAGCTTTTCTTGATGAAGGTTAGGAATACAGGAAGCTGTCTTAACACTGAGTTTCATGATCAGTCCTATTAATCCACTGCATCACCTGAGGCTGGTAATGATTTTGGAAGGTTTAACTGCTTGTTTCCATTCCAGACACTAACCAGGCCCAATTCTACTTACCCTCCAAATCAGATTAAATTGGTGTATACATTGGCAGTATGGTGTTTGAAACCCATCAGAATTCCACTCCTACTTCAATATAGCTCAGCATGGTATAGTTAACACTCAATTGATGGAGCGTATCTTTTGTCTTTTCTTCCCTCTGTCCTCTTGTTAGTACTAGTTGACTCATTTCTTTCTTTGGATCACCGAAGGAGAGAGGCAGATAAGTGTTGGAAAATGAACTGCCAGGTGGTCCTTTTGGAATATAAATTTTGTAATATTACATAAAATGAAAGATATTTCCTATATTGCATCTGCAAGCTGAAGCGGTGTTGTATAAAATATTCAGATTCTTTTAGGTTACATTTATAAGTAATTTTCTCATATGAATATGTTTCTTGCTTTTGTTTCTGTTTTTTCAAAGCAACCGGTTGATTCCTGAGTTGGATACAATAGTCCCAATGGAATCTACAAAAGCTTATGACATGGTGGATATTGTCCGTTCGGTAAGCTTTGTGTTTCAATTTTATTACAATTTGGTAGTAAGCTGCATGACCCTTGTAGCATTTACACATGTGTTAATTGTGTCTCAGAATTGCTACAAAATGTAAACAAATTCCTTTTTCACATTGCATATCTGCAAGCAGCTAAAATATTCTAACTAGAAATGTGGTGTATCATAAAAGTGGTATAAGCAGTATAGCTCAAAGAATTAGAGGGAGTGCTTCTTGGCCTTTGCTCTCATAACTTAAGAGTAGAGAATGCAGCTTCTGGACTAACTTCAGTTTTCAGTGCATGATGTTGTGCTTGAAGAAACATAGGGCAAAATCCTGTTGTGTAAATTTGGACCAGCTGTAACCAGGATCAGGCACCAAAAACATTTAAATTTGCACTAATTAAAAGCTTTGTATTCTCCTCCCCTCCCCCCATTTTAGATTTCTAGCCTTCCTCAGTCTCCTCTTTGCCCTGGGGAAGCCTCGGACAGCCTTGAGATAGGAGAGGGAAGCTGTTAATTTTTAAAAATTGCCACTAGATTGCTGCTGCCAGAATTAAGACCAAATGTTTTTGACTTTTAAAGGCTTCCCTCTTCCATCTCAAAGATTTTTCCATGACAAAATGCAATCTGAAGTTTCTGGTGTCTGATCTGGGTTATGCTGGGCACAAAGTTACACAGTGGGTTTTTGCCCATTGTCTTTAAACTTGAATTTGATAGAATTCATTGCATTGTATATTTAGTCATATGGAAGCCTAGAGCTAGAGCTTCTAAAGCTTCATGTGAAAAGGGAAGAAAGCTAGTTCTATGGTGTTTGATTCACATACAATGAGTGTGAAGTATGGTATACTATCAGCTGGCTGGAGAGCTCAGTAGTTCAGGTGTCTAGCTGTGGAGCCAGAGGTTGGGAGTTGATTCCCTACTGTGTCTCCTGGAAAAAGAGCCATCCTGTGAAACCGTGGGCAAGCTGCACAGTCCCAAGGTGCACCCAGAAGAAAGGAACAGTAGACCACTTTTCAGTATTCTGTACCTAGAAAACCCTGGAAATGGTCACCATAAGTCACAATTGATGGCACACCATTGCAAAATACTATATGAATGATAGCATAATGGCAAGAATCCTGTTGTGTAATTACACTGGCAGAATGAAATGCCATAATTTGTGGTGGCGAATTGCTGCTAATTTGTACGTCCCTGCTTAGATTCCTCATTGTATACCAATGAGGTCTTGGTGTATGACTTGGAATCCAGGGTGGGACTCTTAATTAGCAGCAATTTGCCACCGAGGGTTATGTCATTTTCTTTTCACTGGAGTAACTGTTCAGCAAGAATTGACAAATTATTTGGGGAACCAACTAACAATAGAAATGTTTCTTGTGAGGTATGGTTTAAAAGCAACAGAACAGTAGGACCGCTTGTTTTTGGCTCAGTGACCAATTTTTTATGTTGGTGAAAGGATCCATAATGGTCTTACTTTGCCTAAGTTAGTGTTCACACTTCATATGTTTTTGCATTTTGTTTGATTAGTGGGCAAATAATGCTATGAAGAGCTAAAGTGTACATAGTAACATCACTGCAGTTAGGTCTTTCAAAGCAGAATCCTGTACATGTCTACTGAGAAATAAGACTCATTCAGTTCAGTGGACTTATTTCCAGGCAAGGGAGTATCCCAGGATTAACATCATAAATTCATCTTGAATTTTACTCTGCATCATTCATTATTTGGGATCTGGCCAGGGGGTAGTCTAAAAACTGGGGATGTTGCCAGTTCTGTCTACACTCCCAGGTTGATTAGTGATCCTTTGACAGAACATCTATAATAATTCTATAGCTTAGTCTTCAGTGATTGTCAGAATTCCTAAACTTCCATCCTTCCTTGATGTCTGATATTTGCAGAAATGAAAGCTAAACTGAAGTTGTCTCTGTAGTATTCTTTAAATAGATGAATTAGATATAGAGTGGAGCTAAATTAAGTTGTTAAGCTATAATAAACCAAAATAGTAACTGTCAGGAATTTTTAAATGACCCTTACTAAATGTTCGGTTTAATATCTGTCAAGAAAAAAAAGACTTAAATGAAAGCAGAATATTGAAAATAACTTTTAAAACCCTCTTGTCTTACCTGTCTGAAATCTCCTTTGTCAGACACAGATTGCCACAGAAGGGAATAGGTATTATATCCCTGCTGCAATAAAATGTTTAAATCCAATTCATGCAGATTGTTGACGAGAGAGAATTCTTTGAGATCATGCCTTCTTATGCCAGAAACATTGTGGTTGGATTTGCTAGAATGAATGGAAGAACTGTTGGAATAGTTGGCAACCAGCCCAAAGTGGCATCAGGTAAAAGACTGGTGGGGGTGGGAAGCAGCTGGGAATCTGCAGACTTGAGAGATTTCTATTTTTTTACTGTGTTGTCCTTGTTGAAACAGACAAGTGTTTTCCTTGAAATAAAATTGCACTTGAGGAGCTGTTTGTTCTTCCATTTTGTGTTTAGCTATTCTGATACAGAGTTGGTACTCTTGTGTGTTTGTGCCTTGTAAGTACTTTGTGCCCAGAGAACCATGACATTAAATCTGTTTCTTGATTCATATATGTAGTGAATTTAGGTAACAGGGCTTTCTTTATAAATGTTTAGAATCCATTGATTTTTCTCTATGCCTTTTTATTAACTCCTTTCCTATTAAATGTAGGAATTATTAGATATTTTAAAGAGAGTAAATATTTGTACATAATTCTGAAAAGAATTGCACTCCTATTTAGAACATCTTTTATATTGATAACATAATCATCTTGGAAGTGGTAAAAGTCTTTCAGTAACAGTGAAACATTATCATTGTCACTGCTATTATATTGAGGCCAAGGTTTTAGACATCTCATCGTGGGTACAGTGGGGTCTTGACTTAAGAACGGCTCGAGTTAAGAACATTTTGACTTAAGAACCACTCTCATAGGAAAATATTGACTTGACTTAAGTACTTAGATTTGAGTTAAGAACTGAAAAAAACCACGTGGGAGGCAGGGAAAGTGCAAAATTTGAACTTTCAGTTAACTGTTGGCCAGTGAAAAGGGTGCCTGTCTGCTTCCTCCCTCCTCCCACCGTTTAGAGAGGTGATTGGGAAACAGTCTTCAGACTGCCTGGTACTGTACTGCCTGGACTGTATTTTCCCTGCCTTCCCTGAACCTTTCTTGACCTAAGAAAAAAAGAAACAAAATATCCCCCTCTAGTGGTCGAAGGCGGAATAGCAGCTTCCCATTAGTTTCTATGGACGGAAAAGAGCAGATACGGATCAAATGGTTTTCAATGCATTCCTATGCGAAATGCAGATTTGACCTGAGAACTTTTTGACTTGAGAACCGCCTTCCAATACGGATTAAGTTCTCAAGTCAAGACCCCACTGTATATAGAAACAGCAGTGATTGCCAACATGTGATTTATATTTAATGTGATTTATATTTAAGTGTTTTGTCTATGAAGACTACTGGGCTGTTCTGTTGTCAATGAAATTTAAAGTTCCATCAATTCAGGAAAGGGACCTTATCCAACCAGCCTAAAGAGGTTTCCTCCTCACAACCCATTCTTTTTCAGGGTTTAGTGTGAGAAGAAGAGTCTCTATTGTTACTCTGATTCCTAGCTTCATGTTGTTTGCACAGGGGCATAGGGTAAGAAGAGCCTTCTACTAACTGAATGATACAACTCTCCCACTGCTTCTTGAGTTGTGCGTCTTAACCAGGCTTCCTCAGTGCCATCTCCTCCTTGACTGAAGAAAGAGAAGTTACTTACCTGTAACTTTGGTTCTTTGAGTAGTCCTCTGTGAATTCACACTAATGGGTTAATCTACGCCTGATCAGAGCATCCTCGGAAACTTCCACAGCTTTAAGCACTTGGTGTCGGGACCTCCCCTACACTGGCTATATAACTCTGCCCCCGGCACACAGTGCCTCAGTTCTAAGGAACCGACTGCTGCTGCCCATCATGCCATGGCAAACGAGATGGACAGCAGGGAGGAGGGAGGGACATGTGGATTCCAGAGTTACAGGAAAGTAACTTCTCTTTCTCCTTCGTGGTCTCTGTGAATACACACTAATGGGTGACTGGCAAGCTGACTAACCAGGAGGAGGGACGTCACGAAAGTGCAGAAGCCAGGACAGCTCGACCTACCGCAGCCTGAGCCTTCGGACAGATATCCAGGCGGTAGTGCGAGATGAAGGTAGACTGAGTGGCACATGTGGCAGCGTGGCAGACATCTGTAATGTCCACTCCATGGAGAGAGGCCGTTGAGGATGCTAGAGCTCTAGTAGAGTGAGCTCTCACTGATTTTGGAAGAGGAGTTTCTGCCAAATCATAGGCAAGGCAGGTGGTCTTGACTATTCATCTAGAGATAGTCTGAGAGGAAGCCGGTGCTCTGAAGGAGGAGCCAGCAAAGGTGACAAAGAGATGTTTTTAGGCATGAAAAGTGGTCGTGCAATGCACATAATATGACAGAGCATGCTTCACATCTAGAGTGTGCAGAGCTGTCTCAAGTGGTGAAGATGGTGTGGGAAAGAAAACAGGAAGGACAGTTGGTTGGTTCAAATGGAAGGCGGAAAATACCTTATGCAAGAAGGTAAGGTCTGGCCATAAGGTTACTTTGCAGAAAGGAGGATCTGCTCTTAGTGTAGCAAGTCCTCCAGCCCTGCAAGCTAAGGTTATCACCAGGAGAAAGGCAGTTTTGAGGGCTAGCAAGTGGAGCGATACTGATGCCAAGGGCTTTAAGGAAGGCCTCATAAGCTGCCAAGTGTTAGTGGTCTATAGGCAGGGCGCATATTCTTCAGGCCTCGGAGAAATAGCTTGCAGGTAGAATGGGCCAGTCCCAAGTGAAACAGGTGAAGGAGAAACTGAAGGAGTGCGTCCAGAGACGTTGTCCTAGTAGGCAAATGTCTTGATGCAAAGTGACAGAACGCCTACTCATTATAGGAGTAGGTCAAGATGGTAGAAGGTTTGTGAGCATGATTGAGCATGTCTATTACAGACAGGGAAGTCTCCGAGGCAACAGGTGGAGGGACTCAAGGTCCGGATGAAATATCTGCCCCTTGTCTTGAGACAGTAGATGAGGGATCAGCTGCAGCGTGATGTATTCCACGGCTCATGGGAGCAGGATCGAGAACCATGGCTGGCGAGGCAACCAAGGGGGTATAAGTACGACATTTGCGCACTCATGCTGGACTTGAACGACAATCCTTTGAAGAAGGGGGAAAGGTAGAAACATGTAAAGGAGGCCCTGTGATCAATTCGTCAGGAAAGCGTCCCCTAGGAAGTTGTGGCTGATGCTGGCTCGGGAGCAGAACATGGCACACTTCTTGTTCGTCCAGGATGCGAAAACGTCTATGTCTGGAGTCTCCCATCAACGACAGAGGTGGCGAAAGATGGCATCGTTGAGAGCCTGCTCATGAAAGCAGGACTGTAGTCTGCCGAGATGGACTGCCACGGAATTGTTCTCACCTGTCAAATGTACAGCCACAGGATAAATGTGGCGAGCATAACACCATTCCGAAAGGTTGATGGTGTAAAAGAGAAGGCGTAATGAGTGAGTGCCACCCTGCTTCTTTATATAATAAACTGCAGTGGTATTGTCTGATGCGACCTGGACCACCCGCCCACAGAGTAGGGGCTCGGAGGCCCAAAAGGCCTTGGTAATTGCCAGGAGCTCCAGCACATTGTTATGCAGGCTGGCTTCTATTGTGGACCAGCGGCCATGGACAACGTGGTGGCATAAACAAGCCCCCCTCCAGCCTGACTTGCTGGCATCCACAGTTAAGAGACCAAAGGGTCTCCCAATCCGTAGGTTGGGGAGAAAGTCTCCACCAATCCAGTTGTGCAGCAAGTTCCGGAATCACCTGGAACAACATGGATGGGTGGTCGCAAGATATCTGAAAGAGTGAGAGAAACCAGGCTTGAAGGGACTGCATCATCAGTCGAGGATGCTGTCCCACAGCTGTGGTAGATGCCATCAGCCCCAGAAGTCACTGAACCTGTAGGGCAGGGAACCAAGTCCCTGAAGAAAAGGAGCACAACAGATCATGCCTTTTCACAGTCTTGTTGTCAGGGGAAAAACCTGCTTCAAGAAAGCATGCAAAGTCGCATTAATACAATTTAATACAATTTATCCATTGTGCAGGTTTCAAAGTCCTAACGCTGACAAAAGACACAGTGTCAAGGACGTGTGTTTACAAGCTTGTGACTTGGACTCAGCGACCAAGAGCCAGTTATCCAAATATTCTCCTATTGAGGAGAAATACTTGGGTCTGCCTGACAACTGCAGGGTTGTTAGGTCGGCTCCTATGAGTCCTTTCCCTATGAGCCTACGCTGGCACCGGCAGCTGAGGTGGGAATGCAGGCTGCTGTGTGAATGAGCCCATTGATAAATGAAGGCTGTTTCATGCCAGATTATCAACCGCCAAAAAGGTGTTACCCCAGTAAGGATTATCACTGACAGGTGGGTTTCGCAGTGGGAGCTGCAGGGGGCCCTTTCTTTCCCCAAAGGCAAAGCCAAAGCTTGCTGTATGCTGCTGGAACATCAGCCTCGGCACCCAGCTCTCTCCGGAATTAGCAGCTTTATGAACGAGCCCATGAAGGAGGGCTGTTCTGCGCCAACCTCCAAAGAGGTTTTTACTCCAGTCAGAAGAATCACTGACAAGAGAGGATGGCAGCAAGAGCTGCAGGGGGCCCTTTCTTCTTCCAAAGGCAAAGCTAGGGCTACTGTATGTTGCCAGGATATCTCCAACTTCGGCGCCCAGCTCTCTGCAGACTTAGCTCAGATGCCGTCTTCTTTTTTGACACAAAGAGGAAGATTGCAAGAGGTGGATAACTCTTGCTCTTGAGCCTGGGGGTAGCCTTGTTAAGAAGGTAAAAGATACCTTATTTCTTTAAGAGAAAAGCCATGAGGGCTCCAAAGTTGGCTTTGTAACAGGTTTGTAAAGCTTTTACAAAGAATACCTAAGGCTGGCTGGTGCTTTTTATTTATTTATTATATATATCCCGCCTATCTGGTCAATTACAACCACCCCCAGGCAGAAGAAACAACTTGTTACTGAAGAAAGAACAAGGGAGGTTAAAGAAAGGAAAGATAAAGAATACATTTTTTTTTAAACTTGGGAAGTTCCTAACAAAGCTGCTGCTATAGCAGCGGTCGAAAAAAGAACTGAGGCACTGGGTGCCGGGGGCGGAGTTATATAGCCAGTGTAGGGGAGGTCCCAGCACTCAGTGCTTAAAGCTGTGGAAGTTTCCCTGTAGCTCTGCTCAGGCGCGGAGTAACCCATTAGTGTGTATTCACAGAGGCCACGAAGGAGAAGGAGTGGATACAGTTGCCCCCGGAGTTTATGATGTTAGTAGTTGGTGATCTGCCCTGCAGTATATATTCTGTATGTCCATAATGTGCAAACAATGTATGTATTAAAAAATTTTTTTTAAAATAAAGGACATTCACAAACAGGTTAAAACAATAAAACTTGCAAAGCTAAAATGTAGCCATATCTCGTGCAATAGCAAGTGTTGATATTCTAGTTAATATTTGTAGTGATTGTAGAATATAGTGCCAAATGCTGGATCGTACCACTGAAACAAAGAACAATATTTTGCACTGACTACTTTAAAATGATATTTATAGAAGTCTGGAAAGCATTTTAACAGTTTTTCCTATTTTTTTTTCTAAAACTCAGGCTGTTTGGATATAAACTCCTCTGTGAAGGGAGCCCGTTTTGTTCGCTTCTGTGATGCTTTCAACATCCCGCTAATAACATTTGTAGATGTGCCAGGATTTTTACCAGGTATGTTCTTCTTTCTCCTCCTTGTTTGCAGAGGTTGAAGTTAATTGTGTAGAGGGCATTATACTTGACTCTTGCAAGTAAATGCTATTTCGTACATTAGGAGGAGTTTGTCTTTTCTTGCAAAGCCAATATGCAAACCTATTATTCAGTGCCAAAGCGAGCTGTTTCTTTTCAAACTATTTTTCGTCTTGCACAAGCAAAATGCAAATAGTTTGAAATGCTGTGTTTTATTATAATGAGGTTTAGTATTGTTACAGAGCTCATTTATTCCTTTGTAGAGTTTACCGGTGATATAAAATCCACTAAATTATAAACAAATAATAAATATTGTAGTAAAAGAGAATTGACTTTGTCATTTTAGACACCTAAGTGTCATGCCTCATACTTTAATATACTATTTGTTTATGTATATCTCAGCTAATCCTTTTGAATACTGTTTTTTTATAAGGCTATAGAGATGAAGTAGGGCAGCAGTTTGCCCACCTCTGCACTACACCAGTTTTCATAGGTATGCCACCTATACACCCATCCCTGAATCTCCAAGAGTTGTACTCATTCCTGTAACTCCCAACCTAAATTTTTATCTTTACAATAATTAGGTTTTTGAACTGGCAATCCCCCTTGCACTATCTAGTGGCCAAAAATATTTTTTTTATAAATTGTTTTAAAAATTGGGGAGTAGTAACCGTTAAAACATAATTCCTTTCCATGTTCTTTCCAGAAGTCACAAGGTGACCTTGAGCCCATTAAAAAAACATGGACTGTATGGGTCCTAAGAATCTGCTTGTGTTCCACTCCTTGTGAGTGGTTAGTGCTGGACTGAGACTTGTGAGGTCCAGGTTCTCGTGTCCTTTGAATCATAAAACTCCACAAATGAGCTTGGGCCAGTTGCACTCTCTCAACCCGACCTCACAAGCTTGTTTTAAGATTAGAGCAGAAGGAGCAAAGTCATATATGGCACTTTAAGATGACTGAAGAAAAACTGGGATATTCATCTTACTAAGCAATATGTGTAATGTACACACCTTTCAGTACATTGGCCTATATATTTTGTAAGGCCACGTGACAGAGGCTGTGTTGGCCTTGGTGGTGAATTTTTTCCCTTTGGAGATCCATGGAGTTAAGCAGCATGTAATCCATAACCAAGATAAGCTTGGCACAAGATATAAAAAAAATATACAAATATACAAATATACATCAGACATAACAATGAGTCAGTCTGTTTTATACATCACATTATATTTTGTGGGTGTTATATAAGTTACAAATATAAAATTCTTAAACACAGTGTAAAACTATATAGTTATACTAAAGTATGGAAAGTATGCCAGCAAAGTGTAGAGTTATACAAAAATATAAAAGGAATATCAGCCAATAATGAGATTCTGGTATCTTTATCAATCATAAATTTGTTTGGGATTTCAAACTTTCCAGTTAAATGCTTTATAGATGAATGTATGTTATACAACTGGTAAATTATATCAAATCCCAAAGAAATGTTTATCCCATTTATAAATACTCCAGATTTTTGTGCAAAAATACGTGTCTCCATGGACCATTTTCAGTTAGGCTAAGAATTGCTGAGCAGTGTAGATCAGTTATTCTAGCTATTGTATTTTGGTGCATCCAGGCATTCTATCTGCACTATTATTACTCTGATAACAGCTGAGACTTCAGTTGCTATCATAATTAGTGCTGGGCTTCTCTAATTAGGGAGAATATCACTGCAGGCAGTAAATTTCTTGTAACACTGTTTCATTGGTTCCTGTTGTTTCCAGGCACAGCCCAAGAGTACGGTGGAATTATACGTCATGGGGCAAAACTGCTTTTTGCTTTTGCAGAAGCAACTGTGCCAAAAATCACTATCATCACAAGGAAGGTGAAGTAAAATGCTATTTTATAGCTACTGGCTCTCCTGCACTACTGTGAGGCTTGCCTTTCTTCAGTTAGCTGTCAGGCAAAGTTCTGGCGGCTCTTCATTTTTTCTGTTTATGTAGTTTCTGTGGAGATTTTTTTACATTCTCTGTTTTATCCCTGCAATTTTTATGGTTGTTGGAAGGAGGTGCTGTGTGGCTAAAGAAATTATCATCAAGTTATGATGATACAGAAAAATGTTTCACTGGTATACTATGATACTTAAAAAGGAACTGATCAACTGTGTGGCACTGAACTAATAGCTACTAGTTTTAAGAGATCCAAATGTTAAACCTGATTTTTAGAATTTTTTTAATATCAGTAAGACTGGCTCTACTGGAAGGTTTCCCATCTTAGCAACTTGACACTGACAACCTGCTAACTGATTTTATCCAACAATTGCCCAGCAATTGGCTGCTTAACTGAAAAAAAAGCAGCACGTCCAAACAATCATTTTAAATCATAATTACTGTATTTTTATACAGTAGCAAAATCTCTGTTTACAGTGTAATAAAGGATGTGTGTGTCCCAAGGTGCTTTCAGGTGGTACTAGGAAGCTGCCGTCTCCCTGTAAAGAGCTGAGCCAGTCATAAAACGTGTGATCCTGATTTGTCATTCCCAGATCAGACAGGATTTGTAAGGCAAAAACAGGAAATAAGAATCCTGTTTTCCCTTGGTTTGTAAACCACAATCCTGGGTTAAGATGCTATAGTAAGCTTCCAGTAAGCTTTTATGTACCTGTGTTTTTGGAAGATGCAAGGTGGGAGTGGGCTGTTGATGGTAGGATGCACATTGTTCACAGTAAGAATCTTAGCTTACCATTGTGTGCAACTGTAGCTTATATAGGAAGCTTCTGTTCATGCCATTGCGCTTTTGGGTTAGGCTGCATAGATCTGTGTTGTGACTTAGTATGTTAAGAAACAGTATACATATATGTAAGGGCTGAAATCCTGTTGCTTATTGTAGTAGGTCGCAACACAGACCTAGGCATCTTATGACTCATACATTTGTTTCACTATGAGGTTTAACTGCCATACAATAGAATCATAGGAACTGAATTCAATGAAAAATTAATTGATGATTTTAAAAACACAGAACTATAATACAACAATAATTCTTTATATATCTTTTGTTCCAGGCTTATGGTGGGGCCTATGATGTGATGAGTTCAAAGCATTTAAGAGGAGATGCAAATTATGCTTGGCCAACAGCTGAGGTAGCAGTGATGGGTGCCAAGGTAATGACAGAAGGCATTCTCTTTGGTCTTCAAGAGTTGACACCCTCTCAGTTGTCCTTTCCAATGTGTCTCCTTTTGCTCTTAGCTAGTAAATATTCTGAAGGACTTAAAAAATAATGTTAGTAAACTCACATTTTTGTTTTCTTCCCAGGGTGCTGTTCAAATAATTTTCAGAGGAAAAGGAGCACATGCAGAAGCTGAATATGTGGAAAAGTTTGCCAACCCTTTCCCTGCAGCAATCAGAGGTATTGTAGATTTGAGAATTTATCTTATTGAAACCATTTAAAAGGAACATTTCAAGATCGTCTTGATTGTGTTTTCCAAATCTTTTCACGTTACCGATTATATTTTACCAGAGTAGTTAAGAAATGCATTTGGATGGGCGTATCTCATTAAGTTTGCCATTTGCATAACTTAACTCAAAAGCATGAACCATTGTTTTCTTTCAAATATTGGTTACATTTCCACCCCCACCAACCAATGAGTTGGCCATCCTTAAGAATTTGATGATATAGTTTGTACAACGATTAAGCAGTTAAACAGTGGAAATGTCTCTAAACACTAGATAGAAAGCCTACTTGCAGATTGTCTGCGGACAAACACTAGCTCTATGGGTTGAAAACGGAGATAAGTACCACTGCCTAGAGTTGGACACAACTGGACAAAATTCTCAAGGGGAATCTTTTTCTACCAATGAGGAAAAAGTATTGCTTAGCAAAGCGACTTTTTCTTCCTCAGTTTCCACTTCTGTCTCACGGTTGTTCCTTTAGATGTAGAGCTCAGTTTCATTATCAGAATCAAGTTTTCTTGGAGATTTCAAGACAAGCATTGCTCCTTCAGGTAGGATGTGAAATTTTCATTTGGTCAAACAAAATAGGAGAGGGCTTTCTTCTAATTTTGTTTCTCTGCAGCATAAAAGGAAGGAGAACAAACATAGCTGATGTAAACAATTAGAGATGTGCAGGGGAATTTTTTCAGTGGTTTTTTTTTGGGGGGGGTTCTTTTGGATAGCTCTTATTTGTTTTGGGTTCAGTAAACCTGAAAATGCCTGGATCTTTCAGGTTCATCAGGTTTGTTTTTTGCATTCCAGTTTCTGGTGCTAGAGCCAGTTAAGCCATACAAATCAAAATTAGCTTTTTCAAAAAAAGCAGAGACATGGCAGGATGATCTTCTAATCCAAAACTGGACAACACCAACACTATATAAGAAAGGAAAATCCATTATCCATACCTACGCAGGCACTAACAGTACTTCAAATTCACATTTATCGTCACATCAGCATCCTCATCAATTCATTGACAGGTAACAGTAGATAGATAAATCATAAATAAAACATGCACACTCACTCACTAAGGGTGTTATAATCACTCTTCCCAACCCTTCAAATATTGATCTTTAGGATAGACATCTCTCCCACCCATGGCTTGGAAACGGGGATGAGCACCGCCCCCTAGAGTCGAACACGACTGGACAAAAATTGTCAAGGGGAACCTTTACCTTTACCTTACAATCACCACTGGATCTAGGTGTAATCGTGCTGGTCAAGAAACAAGCCCTTTGTTGAAGAATAATTCTTTTATTAAGAAAATGAAGTAGTTCCATTAAAATACAGTTGTAGCTTAAAAGCATGTCATATCCAGGCAGTTACCATGATTCAAATAAGCTATTCCTAGGTTAAAATAATAAAAGGCTAAACTAGGTAATCATTCTGGTAACTTCTACATCTTAACATCTAGAGAAGCTGGGTGAACCTCTCCCCCCCTTTCAAAAAGAGAAAACTCTCTCTTCTCACATTCCACAACACCATCCATCAACAGCCACATTTCACATACATGAAACAACCATTCTTCATCGTGGTCTTCTGTGAATGCACACGAAAGGGTTAATCCAGCGCCAGCGTCAGTCCTCTCGGAACATTCTCGAACTTTAAGAGAAAAGTAACAAGTGTAAGGCTGCCTGTAGTGCGCATGTTCCGCCCGCCCAAATCTCAGTTCCATTTTTCCGCCTAGCGATTTGGAACCTCTTGCTTCGAGCTCTGTTTCTATTCGTCTTATTTGCTGTATTTTTCTGGTATTTTGACCCGGATTGAGCGAACTCTATATCCCTTGACGTGGACTGGTTTTTACGACTTCGCTAGTGTTTTTTCCCTTCAACTTGGCTGCCTCGGTTTTTCCCGCCTTTTCCGCTCCGTAACGGTTACCCATAGACTCTAATATCTTATGCTGTCCGGCCCGTTCAGTTGTTGCGTGGACTGCTCTAGGAAAATTCCCCACCAGGACCCACACAATTGTTGCCTTTTTTGTTTGGGAGAAGCCCACCTCACAAAGTCTTGCCAGCATTGCAAAACTTTCATGATGGCAGCACTGAAGGCAAGACAACAGTGTCTCAAATATCACCTTTGGGAATCTACCCTATCAGCCACCAAGCCTTCAGATTCATAGATGGCCTCACCGTCTGCAACACCAAGGTCTGAGGCGAATGTTTCCCCTCAGCCTGCTCCATCGAAGACATCTGCCAAAGCAACCAAGAAGCCGGGCCCTTCTAAGAAAGCTGTTGTGAAGACCAAATCGGATACTGCCCCTTCTTTGAAACCTGCAAAAGTAAGGGAAAAGCACCCGTTAAAACTAAAGAGCCTGTGGTGCAGCTTCCACCAATTTCAGAGTCCCTTCCATTGCCTATCTTAGAGGATTCATCGAGGTACCACGAATCCTTGTCGGAGGCAGTCCCTTTGCTCCCTCCTCGACAAGTTGAGCCGGCTGTTCCACCTAGCGTCTCGTCCCCGACACTGAGTCAGCTCGTTGGCGCGACCTTGGGCTTGACTTCTGCCCCGCAGAGCCCATCTTCTCATGGCCGGGGTTCTCCAGCTCCTTCAATCTCAACGCCTCTTTCGAGGTCGAGATCAGCGCAGAAGAAGCACTCTTCGAAGAGAAAACACCGCTCTTCGATCCGACGCCGAACCAAACATCGGTGTTGAAATAGTTCTTCGTCATCTTCCGCCGATTCTGACACGCCTCAACGACGTCACCATCATCAACGGCATTCCAGTTCTTCTGACTCTTCCTCGACCTCGACCGATCGAGGTCAAAAACATAAACAAGTCAAGTACATCTATTTGTCATCCTCGTCGGGCTCTCCTCGACCTCGTCATCGCCGTCGCTGTCGACACATCGATGCCAAGAAGCAGAAAGAGGCTCCGCCCCAGCCGGTCCTACCTATTCCACCAGCGGTGCCTCTCCCTACTACAGTACAACAAACGCAATCTTCGACGTCGCAGAATAGACTCGACGTTGAAAAACCATCGTGCAAAAGGAAGAGGGATGTTTTCTCTTCTGATCCGGATGCGGTTTCTTTAGTCCTTTCTTCGGACTCTGACCAGAACTTACCTGCACAGCCTTCCCAAGGCGGCCTTCCGGAGGGTGAAGTGGTTGGTTCGGACATAGGTGACACTCACGCTTCCTCCCCGTCTGAGGATTTTTCCTCGTACTCACAAAGGTTATCAAGGTTGGCAAGAGCACTTAAGTTAGAGGTGGATCAGCCTGCACCACCTACTGAAGACCTCATCTTTGGTGATATTAATCAAGAGAGGTCTCCACCTCCTAGTCTCACTTTTGTCCCAGTCATTATGGACATCATCAAGGAGTTATGGGAACAACCCTCCAACACACCCTCATTGCCTCGCTGGACGGAGAATTTCTATCGTGTCCATGGTACTGACACGAAATTTCTCTTCAAACATCCGGTCCCCAACTCTCTAATTGTGGAGACCCTTTGCACCAAGCCTACTGGAAAAATCTCATGTCACCCCCCCACCAATAAGGAGGGGAAAAAGTTGGAGATCATTGGCAGAAAAATTTATTCTCTGATCTCCTTTCTGCTGAAGGTTATTAACTACTAGACTGCTCTCGGAGCATATCAAAAACAGCTCTGGTTGAAAATCTTGCCTGGACTTAAAACTCATTCCAGAAGTTAGACAAAGTTTTTTTGAACTTTTACGAAGAAGCTCAAACTGTATCCAAGCATCAAAGATTGTCCACTAGGCACGCTGCAGAAGCCGCTGCCAGAGTCCTTATGTCTGCTCTTACTTTACGCAGACATGCTTGGCTCAGAGCTGCCAACATACTTGATGATGTTAAGAACAAGGTTGAGAGCCTGTCTTTTGATGCTACTGGACTTTTCAACAAAAAGACAGATAATCACTTGGAAGAGCTTCACAAAGCTAAAAAGACTGCCAAGTCATATTCCATTAAACCTCATCCTCGTTACAAGAAGTATCAATGGCGTAAGTCTTATGCCCAATACCAGCAATCCTCACAACAATTCAAACCATATAGGAACTTACCTCAACACAGATCCTCTCGAATCTTCTGCTCCCAGTTACCGGTCTCAGCAGTCACAACATCGGCAGTCCTATAAACCACCTGCCAAAAAATCCAAACAGTACCTTTGACTTTCCCATAAGCATCACACTAGACACAAATACTACAAGACTTCTACCATTTCTGTCAAACTGGATCTCTATCACAAACGATTCCTGGGTTTTAAAAATCATTCAACACGGCTACCGTCTAGAATTTATAGAGTTACCTCCCTTAGGGTTTGTAAGACACACATCCTTCGACATCGCTCTAGAAGAGGAAATTCTATCACTTCTACGCAGGCATGCCATCCAACCCGTGCCCATAACAGATCTAAGAAATGGATTCTACTCCAGGTACTTCGCCGTGCCAAAAAAAGATGGAGGAATAAGACCAATTCTGAACTTAAGAATTCTAAACACTTACCTACATCCACGACGTTTTCGCATGGTGACGCTGGAATCCATTTTGCCCCTGCTAAAGAAAAACAATTGGTTCGTGGTTATAGATCTGAAAGATGCCTATTTTCACGTAACCATTCATCCAGACCATCGCAAGTATCTCAGCTTCATATTCCAAGGAACCATCTATCAATTCCTGGCCCTCCCGTTCGGACTTGCGACAGCTCCCAGGACGTTCACAAAGGTTATGGCTCCGGCAGCAGCTTACCTGCACCTCAAAGGCATCCACATCTACCCCTACATAGACGACTGGCTGCTGGTCTCTCCATCCAGAAATCAGGCCCTAAAGGACACAGGGTTCGTTCTTCGGCTACTCCCAAAGTTAGGCCTCACCATCAACATGAAAAAAATCACACCTCAGACCATCCAAGGTGGTTCATTACAGAGGTGCTCACCTAGATGCAACCAGGGCATGGATCTTTCTACCCAAGGAAAGGATACTAAAAATTCAGTCAGCTCTAAGAAAATTTCAACCGAGGGCCCGCGTAACAGCAAAGCACGCCCAACATCTGTTAGGCCTCATGGCTTCAACCACCTCAGCCCTATCTCATGCACGTCTCAAACTAAGGTCTCTCCAGTCTTGGTTTCTTGCTCTATTCAATCCAATGACAGTCAGTCAACACAAGCGCCTTCGTGTAACTCCAGAGCTTGCCAAACAACTCCAATGGTGGTTACCTTCCACACTTGAAAATAGGCAGACCTTTCAAGCCACTACAGCTTACAGTTCAAATAACCACAGATGCGAGCCCAACAGGCTGGGAAGCACATTGTGGCCAACACAGGATACATGCCCTCTGGTCCTCCCAGGAAATCAGCCTTCACATCAATCATCTAGAGATGATAGCTGTCATAAAGGCACTCCGGTCCTTTCTCCCCATAGTACAAGGTTGTGGTGTTCAGGTGATAATGGACAACACCACGACCATGTACTATATCAACAAACAAGGAGGGACTCGCTCACAATCACTACTTTACCTGACCATTCGTCTTTGGGAGTTGTGCTACCTCCATCATATATTCCCGATAGCCATACATTTATCCACCACAGAGAATGCTCTAGCAGACCATCTCAGCCGTCTTCCACATCAAACACACGAATGGGAGCTCAATACCCAAGTGTTCCACGATCTTTGTCGCCGATGGGGAACTCCTACTGTAGACATCTTCGGGTCTCATCAAAACGCCAAGTGCACCAAGTATGCATCCAGAGCCGGACTGGGCAAGGACTCCTTAGGGGATGCATTTATGATACAGTGGAATCAGGGCCTTCTCTATATGTTCCCCTCTCTTCCTCTAGTACAGAGGGCTCTCGTGAAGCTTCGTTACTCACCTGCGGGAGCAATCTTCATAGCACTGGCCTCAACAAGTATGGTTCCCAACGCTGATGAGGATGTCCTCAGAATTCAGGAGACTTCCGATAATACCCAATCTCTTGACACAGGATGCAGGCACAGTCTTCCATCCAGAGGTAGAGACATTGCATCTAACAGTATGGAGGATCTTCCCGAGATCAAGGAGGTATTAGACCAAGCTAAAAAGCCGCCCACTACGCTGTTGTACACTCAAAAGTGGAAAGGTTTTCTTAAGTTTACTGAGGCCAGAGGTCTTGTACCATCCCCTGTGTCTCTGTCTACTTTGTTGCTATACTTACGTTATCTGTTTGATTTCAAGTTGTCCTTATCTACTATTAAAGTTTACCTGGCTGCAGTTATCTCCTTCCAGCCTAAGGATTCTACTTCGTCACGCTTTTTCTCCCACCCAACGGTTAAGGCCTTTCTTAAAGGACTCACTAATCTCAGGCCTCCAGTTTGACCACCAGTTCCGCAATGGTCTTTCCAGCTAGTTTTACACACTCTTACCCATCCTCCCTTCGAGCCTATGGCTACCTGCGACCTTAAACTTCTATCTCTCAAGGCTTTGTTTTTAGTGGCTATCATGTCTGCTGGAAGAGTAAGCGAGCTTGCGGCCCTTCACTCTGACCAGCCGTTTCTGCAGTTTTTCAAGGAAAAAGTTCAGTTGTATCCAGATGTTTCCTTCCTCCCCAAGGTTGTTTTCGACTTTCATCTCAGTCAACCGTTATCTCTCCCTACTTTGTTTCCTGAACCTGCTAATGACACTGAGCGTATACTCCACACTCTTGATGTCCGGAGGGCTTTAGCCTTTTATGTCTCCAGGACTAAGGACTTTCGAGCCTCCCACAGGCTTTTTCTGTGCTATTTTGGACACAAAAAAGGTTTATCTGCAGCACGTTCTACACTCTCCAGGTGGCTTGTTTCCACGATCTCCCTTGCCTATGAACTCCAACATAAGTCTCCGCCTGAAAGACTAAGGGCTCACTCAACCAGAGCCATGGCTTCTTCTGCTGCCCTACTCCGTGGCATTGATGTACCTGACATATGCAGAGCTGCCACTTAGTCTAATGTCTCAACGTTCATCACTCACTATAGACTAGACCTCAGGGCCAATAAGGAGACAAGTTTTGGGAGAGCAGTGCTGACGTCTATACTCCAGTGACAGCTCACCGTCCGATGAGTAAGCTTGCTAACCACCCTTTTGTGTGCATTCACAGAAGACCACGATGAAGAAAGACGGGTTACTTACCTGTAGCCATGGTTCTTCAAGTGGTCATTCTGTGAATTCACACAATCCCGCCCGGCCTCCCCACTATCTGTCACTGTTGGTATCTACCTCATGCTCGGGTACCTGTGGTGGATAAATGGAACTGAGGCTTGGGCAAGCAGAGCATGCGCACTACAGGCAGCCTTACACTTGTTACTTTTCTCTTAAAGCTCAAGAATGTTCCGAGAGGACCGACGCTGCCGCTGGATTAACCCTTTTGTGTGAATTCACAGAATGACCACTTGAAGAACCATGGTTACAGGTAAGTAACTTGTCTTTTTTCTACATGACTCTGGACCACCTTCTTTCTGACACTTCCAAGCTGTCAACCAATTAGGATCATGAGGGCATAACACAGTTTACCACCCCTATTTGACATGAGATCTTGCAGGTGTCATATCTCATCCCAATCAAGAGGAATGTGGTGTTTGGTCTCCTCCTCAAACCTTGCTCCTTGGTGCTAGGCAGAGCAAACTTGGAACAATCTCATGATAACATTTTAGTGGTTTAAATCCAAACTACACAATAATCCTAACAGACTCCATCTTTGTATGTCTACAAGTCCCAGTTTCCTTCTAATTCCTTACAATAATTAGCTGCATGCCAGCTTCCTTTTCTTATTGATGTGCAATCGAAGAGTGATCTAGCATATACCTTGGTGGTTAATGAGCTTGGCCTGGGTTGGACACAAAGAACCAAGTCGTGTGGTCCCTGCCTTGTAGTGGCAGGGAGTTGAACTTAATTGCAAATGTATTCACTCTTCTTGCCCACAGCAATGGTTACTGTTATCATCTCGGGATTAAGTAGTCTTCAAATGATATCAAAAGATACTTCTCTCCCCCACCCCTGACATTAAGAGCTTTGCTGTGGTAGAGGAAGTCGTGAAACCTCTACAACACTGGTTCTTAACCTTGGGTTACTCAGAAGTTTTGGACTGCAACTCCCAGAAGCCTTCACCACCAGCTGTCCTGACTGGGGTTTCTGGGAGTTGCAGCTCAAAAGCATCCGAGTAACAAAGGTTAAGAACCACTGCTCTACAAGGACACTTCATTCCATAACCTTCCTAGGATCTTTGGGTGGTAACAAGATATCAGTCAGAATAAGAAGGATGTTTATTGATAGAAAGGTCAGCGTTCCATGAGAAAACACAGCACATGCTGGTAAGGGTTGTGTAGCCTTAAAGCGTTTTGTGGACACACTTCATATTACCCATGGTCTTGAAAGAACTGGTAATAATACAACAAATCTCAATAATCAAAATAGCTTTTTTTGCCTAGGATGGGCATAAAACATCTTTTTCTCCAAAAGGGAACACTTTCAAGGATATTTTAACATCAGACTGATCTTCCTCAGCTTTTGCCAGAGGCTGGTGGGTACTGGAGCCTGCAGCCTGCTATATTTTGAATCTTGCTTCCTACTTTGGTGTTCTAGCATAAGAGAGTGTCAGCTTCATCCACAAAGTTCAAAATCCTTCTAGTTCCAGACCAAATGCCCCTAAATCAGATACAAAGTTCTTAACAAAACAGGTTACATTCCCTAAACAAAACACTTGCTTTCTACTACAGTACATCTACTGTGAAGTTTGGCATCTTTCTTCTCTTCACCTGCATGTACTCCCTTTCCTGCGTTCCCCCACAGCCGATCTGTCCTCTATGGAACTGGAGGTAGACAAGACACCTCCTAGGATTTAGGGGAGGACATAGGAACCCAAGTCAGTGATCCCTGCCTTGTAGTGAACTTAATTGCAGATATAAAGTGACCTTTTTTTATTTGTTCAATCTCCCTCTTTTGTAGTCAGTTATTCTTCCAAGTGCATTCAGCAATATTTCTAAAAAGGTTTTGAAGACAAGCATTTCTATGTTCTTATTTCAGGGTGCTTGATTTAATATTAACAATATTCCTGTTCATTTGTATTTCAAAAGCAAATCATAGTGATCAAGATATTCTATACATACCATATTTCACTTACCTTCATGTATAGATTTGTTCATATTTAGACTGATGGTCTAGACAGAAGTCCTGTACTTACTGAATAGGAGGTTTTGGGTACTCTTCACAGAGGGAGGTTCCAGACAGATGCCTTTTCAGTGCAGTGATGGAATGCTCTGCTGCCAACATTAACCTATGTTCAGTTACATAGGTGTTCAGCACAAAATTTGACATTTTGGAAAGGCCATAGACCTGCGGGATTCTTCATTTCCCTGTTATGCTTCCAAACTGTTGATTCTCTTCTGTTTGTTCCAATTAGAGGTTAATGAAAAATGTTGTTTTAAAAATGATCAACCATAAACCAACAGATCTTTGGATGTTAAAAGAATTCTATTGTGGATTCTCCTGCCTGTTACTTAGGATTGCTCTGACAAATAGTTTTACTTCTGCAAATTTTAGTATGGACAATCTACACTAAATATTTTGTGGCATAGATACACTTGTCTCTAGTGGAAATAAATGATTTTAAAATTTGTTTAACAGGTTTTGTGGATGACATAATTCAGCCATCTTCTACTCGACTTCGTATTTGCCGTGATTTAGAAGTATTAGCCAGCAAAAGACAATCTAACCCTTGGAAGAAGCATGCCAACATTCCACTTTGAATTTGCTGGAAGTGAAAGGATAGAAGAATATGGGGAAATGAATGTACTCCAGATGCCTGTTGATTCAGACATTTTGAAATATATGGGTAATTTCAGTGGATAACATTCAAGAAGGGATGCAGGACTATGAGTATATCCCTGTCGTGTTCATGTAAAAGTTGCAAGATTTGTAAATCTGATACTTTGTAAAGACAGAACATCAGACTTCATAAACCTGAAATAGCATAATAGAAGCCATACAGTACACAAAATTAAATTTAGATTATTTCGGACAAAATTTCTCCGTGGGGATATTATTTTGGTGAATAGGTAAAATTATCATGCAGATATAGGGGCTGCAAGAGAGAGATCATCAATAGTATAATTCACCACAAGTTTCAGAATTGTTCAGTGCAAATACTAATCTGGATAAACCTGTCTACAAGATGTTTTTGCTTATTGGAGGTCTGACAAGATTCTTCTCCCTATGATTTCTAGGGCATTATACTGTTGGTGAAGGAGGTTCTGTTTTGTTGCTGCGGAGTATGTGTTTGATGGAGATTACCTCCATGGTGGTTGGAAACATTTGATTCTTATTAGGCTACATAAATAGCCCTTGTGGACCCATGAACTGATTATTCATTTTGATTTGCTATCCAGGTCTTTTTGGATATCCTGGGTTATGAATGTTTTCTGATTCTCTTTTATGTCTTTGTAGGTGGGGATGGGTAGTTGTGTTTTTAACTGCTGTTAGCTGCCCAGAGTCGTGTGGGATATAACAAATAAAACAAAATAAGTGGATGCGAATAATCTGAAACTGCAGAAAATATGTAACCTTATATCTCCACACAGTAAAATCCAGTACAGGTATTTTAGAAGTTGAATTTCTGTGACCTGTTTTGAAAACATTTTTGAAATTTTTGCGTGCATTTTTTTTGCCTTGAACATGAGGTGTGCTAAATCAGTGGTCTCCAACCTTGGGCCTCCAGATGTTCTTGGAATTCAACTCCCAGAAATCCTGGCCAGCAGAGGTGGTGGTGAACGCTTCTGGGAGCTGTAGTCCAATAACATCTGGAGGCCCAAGGTTGGGGACCACTGTGCTAAATAAGCTGAAATGCAAGTCCAAAAGGTTACCTGTGGCAACTGTAGTTCTTCTACTGGTCATCTGTGAACTCACAAAAACAGGTTTCTGCACCTCTGTGGATTGTCCAGAACATTCATAGTTGAGCACTTCAGGCAAGAAAATCCACCACCAGTAGATGGCAAGGAAGGCCCAGGCATTAATTATGGGAGAGCTTGTGATGGGCTAAGAACCAGGGTTGCTGAGGCTACCATGGAGCCACTAGAATTGCTTGGGCATGGTTGTTCTTAAGATGGACGATGAACAGGAACAGACATCTTTGAGATCATGGCACCAGAAACTCATCACTCAGAGCGGTAGTCAGCTCCCAGTTTGCTGAAAAAGAAAGGACATCTCATGTTCTGCCTTGAGACAAATATATGTTCAGAACACCCCATTAGCTATTAAGGGGAAAAATACTTCCTGATAAAATTCTCAGTTGTTCATTGAGGAGGATGAATGACTTAAAACATTTGCCAGTACATTTTCTTCTGGGAAGGACAGCCACTATAACGATGTGTTTCTGGATGCACAATCCCACGGGAGCAATGTGAGTATATCAAACAGCACATATCACTGTTTCTTCATGTAGTACATGGTGGTTGGTTTTCTATGGCTACTTGGACAATTGTGTTTTGGATCAGAACCTCAAATGTCTGTAAATGCTTAAGACAGCCATATGTCAAGCATGTTTACATGAAGAAGTGAGGTGGCTTGATCAATGTGTGAAAGTGGGTGTCCTTCAGGTACTTGGAAACAAAGCAGGTGCCTCACTAAGTGAGGGGCACAGTAACCATATGAAATCTCCATGGTTGAACGAAGTAGTTGATCCCATGAAGGATAGGACATAGGGATACAGAAATCAAGGAAGACAAATGAGTCAAAGATGATGTCTAGCCAGCTGTGAGATCTTCTTATAATGGGCAGATGAGTAGGACTTTAGTTGATGGTAGTGCTGCTTAGATGGCCTGGTGAGTACAAGGGGCAAGACATGGCTGCTGGTGATTTCTGGGAAAGCTATCTCCATGAGGGTGAAAAGGATGGTGAGGCTGGGCCTGGGAGGTAAGTCCTCTCTTTCTAGCTGGATACCTGGGTTTCACAAGATGTCATGACCTCAACAGAAATGTTCTCTACCGAGGACAAGCGACGTCTACGTTGGCTCGGCATGTTGTGAGGATGGCTGACAGATTGTATTTGTCTTCAGTGTGGAAGGGATTGTCACTCTCGTATTGGCCTTTTCAGTCACACCAGACATTGTTCCAAGACATTCAGAGCACATTACAGTCTCTCGAGACTGAAGGATGCCTGCATCAGTTAACACCAAAAATATGCAAATCTCTAAATTAAAAGCTCCATTTCTTTGTTTAAATCTTCAAGTTTGCCTTGATTTATACTTCTCACATTCTATGTTACAATTATAAATGTCATGCAGCATCTTATTTTTCATTTGTTTCTGTGCATATGAACAACAGAAGATATTTTCTTTAATTCATTTACTTCATTAGTGACACTGCTTTTATTCTTGGCTCTTCCTCAACAGCTGATTGAGCACCTTCTCACCTGGCAGTCTCATCTTCCAGCACTGCCTCATGCTTCATTCTTGGCCATTTCTGTATAGGGTTTTTGAGGTAGAAATACTCAGAAATAGTTTACTATTGCTTTCTTCCAAAATGTAACTTGAATGTCACTGCCATTTTCTATGAAGGCTCCTCCAATAATTTCACTTTCCACTACTACTGCTGCCCAGAACTGTCCTTCAAAAGCTTCACCCTCATCACCTTTGGAACTATAAATTATAATTCATTATAAACTATGAATGGTAAGGCAAACATTTTATACATCATATCATATCTTGTTTATAAAATAATCGTGGTACAGTATGCAACAGAACAATTGAGGTATTGTTTTAATCTTTACATGGTTGTTTTAGTCTGAGCAGGGTTTTGAAGTTATTTTTATTAGATGAATTCCAATTTAGTGTCAGTACTGCAAGTGAATTAGCAAGCCTATCAAAAAGAAACATGTAAAAAGCAAAAAAGTGTGCTTTTTTAAGAGGAACCATAGGCAAACTTATAAACATTAGCAAGAATCACAGTTGGCTGTGACTGTAGTTTGAAAACTAATGTATTCATACATATTGATAAATTATCATGGGACAGCATAAACAACTGGGTTTAATCTAGATATAGTCACACATTGTTGATTTACTAGAAATACTGTGTTTCTCCAAAAAGAAGAGAGGGTATTATATTAATTTTTGCTCCAAAAAAATCATTAGGGCTTATTTTCAGGGATGCTTTATTTTACAGTCATGTTATCGTCTTCTGGTTGCTGCACAATGGTGGAGAGCGGGGTTTCACTTAATTGGAGCTTATTTTTGGAGTAGAGTTTATATTAAGATCATTCAGAAAAATCATACTAGGGCTTATTTTCAAGTTAGGTCTTGTTTTCAGGGGAAAAGGGTAGGTATTTAAGTAAATTATGACTAACTAGCATTTCTACCTTCAACATGTCTGCTTCAAGTATGACCATGTTTACCACCTGCCAAGCAGATTGGCACATATATGCAAACTAGAGATGGGGACAAATCTGCATTTTGGCAATTTGTCCTGCTTCGTGATCCATCAAAGTGGACGAATCATGAAGCTCTCCCCATGAACCGACAAAGCATGAAATTATTCGCGCGCGCGTGTGTGTGTGTGTGTAGAAAAAACCCTGACCCTCCCGCCCACTGTCTAATGCAGGGGTCCCCAACCCCCGGTCCGCAATCAGGCAGCAGTCCGTGGAGGCCATGGACACAGATCTCCCCCCCCCCGAGCGCCACCACGTGCAAGTGTGTTCCACCCCCACGAGCGTGCCACTCTCCCCAATTGCTCTGCGGCTGGGAAAAGGTTGGGGACCACTGGTCTAATCCAAACAAGAAAATGCATTAAAATTGGACCAAGACTACCTGTTCCAATTTTAACAGTACATGATGAACCTATTGATTTATTAGTAGCAGTAATGAGTCTAGTCAAAATGAGGCAGAAAAGAAATCCAGTTTTATAATTTAGTTCAGGAAAAAGGAAGAACAAGTAGTTAATACAGAGTATGAAAACATAATTTGAAAAAAAATTAATTACTGTTTATTATAGTGACTTAATTTGTTCCAAAATTCTTCTGTGTTAGAAAATATACAAGAAATTTCCAGTATAAATACTTTAGAGAAGAGCCATACAAATGGTTATTTTATAGCCCTAAGCATTCTCGTTTTATAACTGCACTAACTGGTGAGAGATGGCATTTAGGCAGCAGTTAATACACAATGTGTGTTAGTAAGGAATAGGTTACTAACCAGACAAAACAGGTGGAGATACATACCTGACATGATTAAGGATGATGGAAATTTTCCAAAAGCAAATTAGAAACAAGAAAAGCATGGATTCATAGCCACATAGAGTTGAGGTCAGAAACATGTCCACGAGCCAGCATATTTCTGCTTTGTAGATTTACAGTATTTTTCCTCTGGTTGTGATATTAAAAGAACACTAATAACAGTGTTTTAGGTAAACGGCTACAGAGCCAGAGGTTGGGAGTTCAAGAGGGCTGTGCATCCCAGAAAAGCCAGCTTGTGTGGCCTTGGGCAAGCTGCACAGTCCCAGGATGTGCCCAGATGAAGAGAATGAAACCACTTCTCCACCTGGAAAATCCTGAAAAGGATTACCATAAATCAGGATTGACTTGATGGCACACAATTATTATTAAATATCAAATGAATGATCATTTTAATAGACACAAAAGAAAACTAAGCCGTACAAGCCCCCTGCCAGAATATTTGTACTATTCATATGTATTGAAACAGTTTTGAGTACGACCTGCAGCTGGAGGCAGATAATACCACCAAGTATTGCAGACGACAACTGCAACTGGTAGGGTCCTTCAACCCAGTTATACTTGTGCCAAGCAAAAATGTCTGAGTATCAAGGGATAGCAGAACATGTAAGCCCTCTTAAGCCTATAAGCAGCACATTTTTCCTTGCTAACAGAACTCATTCTGCTTATTTCTATGTCTTATTAAAAATGTTAGCTCCTTTGGAAAGAGATCACAGTGCTTGAGTGTAGCATTCAACATCCTGAATATTTAATGTGAACTGTACTAAAATTGTTCACATTAAAGGCAAATTGTATTAATGTCTGAACATCATATTAACATTTAGGTTCTTAGTTAAAGGACCATGAAAAAGAACTGAACACTTATTGATTAAACTACCATTATTTGATCTTGGGTTTGACAAGGCTAAAAAAAAATCAGAGGTTTTTCCCCACTTTGGCAATCACTATGTTTCACATTTTTCATCAAAACTGCAGAGTACCATCATTTGTGTTTAAGTCAACAAACACTGCTGGCATTGAACTAATAGAAACAGTGCCATTGTGCAATGTTTGTTCCTCTAACCAGTTGAGCAGATGTCCCTTTTGTCTAAAATTAAAGCAGCTGTTCCCTAATTCAGGGAAGCCTTTTCATTCTGACAGAATTTAAAACAAGATACATTACTTTATGTAGAGCTACTGATTGTGACTCATACATTTAATTGTCTAATGAGTCTGCTGCACAACGTCTGGGACCTACCTACCTAGAAGGCAACAACTATCCAAGGAGACCAAAGTCAGCAAGGGATCTCATACAGCCACCTCAACAAAGTAATTCTCAGATGTTTTAGAAAATAGGAGCTACATCATCAGAAAAGATGCTACGAAGTAACATATCTAGAGAAACAGAGAAGAAAGTTACTATGGGCAAAAATCCCATTGCATAACTTTATGCTGGCATAACCTGGGTTAGGTCCTAGAAACATTTAATGTAAACACATGGAAAGTTTCCTATCCCATCCATCACCACTTTAGGTTCTGAGGTTCCCAAGGGC